GATAACAAGATGATATGTAATTCCTTATCAAGTGAATTAAAAGTGAATAAATCACATTAGATATATGAAGATGAAAAGATAAATAAAAATTAAAAGATTTATGCTTAGCTCTGCTTTAAACAACAAAAACTAAAACAACTAGAATATTTTATTTCTTTCGCTAGTGGATAATTGTGTGTTTGCCTAGAATAATGCCACAGGTCCCTTCCGTTATTATTCTAAGCATCTTTAAATAAGGAACAAAATACAACTATTTTCTTTTAGTTGCAGATACTCACATCTACTCTAACAACATGAGCCTCTATTATCTGCTTTATGCCCTGTTACTTCCCTTTATACAGCCCCAGCTTCCCTGAACTGGGCCACTTCCTCTTCCCTGATTATCATCTATTTCTTTCCAGCTCTAGTCTGAGCTCTGCTTGGAAGATGTCCTTTCCATCTCTCCATTCTCCTCTTTGTTTTTGTTTTTTTTTTTTTTTTCAGCCCTCCCACTTCTGAAGGTCCATCTCAAAAGTGCCAAGCACCGAGCTACTCTGAGAATGGATTACCAGTTCTTGGAGAAATCTGCACTTTTATTTAGCCTTAAAGAATGAGTTAGTTTCCATTAGTTGTTTTTCCTGATGGGTATTAACTCATTCCCTAAGGCCAGCTCAATACCTGGGTGACAAAATAATCTGTACAACAAACCCCCACGACACAAGTTTGCCTATTTAACAAACCTACATATGAACCCTAGAATTTAAAAAATCAAAAAAGGAAGACCTGGAAAGTAAGCAGGCAGTACTGCCATGTAAAGCTTTATGTCTAATTTAGCAACCCAGGACTCTGATTTCAAAATCAAATGCAAAAAAAAGAATGAATTAGAACTACTCATTTCCGGACGTGCAAGGCTGAGTAGAGAAGGGAAGGAAGAGATGTAGGCCATTAGCATTCTTTGTTGGCAGACTGGGAAAATGAGTTAAGGAACAGAGAGGGAAAGCTACGTGATACATGTCAGCAGACTACCAGCAGCTTCCTACTGACGTCAATTCTGACAGATTGGTGAGAAATGAAACAAGAAAGGGAATCAAGTATCAAGCTGGGAAGGACTTGGGTCTATGAAAAATGTTATACTTCTGTGGGGGGTGCTCCTTAAGTTTATTGTAGAGAAAAATGGCACAGTTCCATTGGCATTTGGACACACTAGAGGCCCACTGAGTATGACCCTAATCTGGTCTTCACAGCTTTGATTTCCATTGCTCTAATACAAAGTCCCTAAACTCTCATCACATGTAGCTACTGGCTCTTACCTAAACACAACCCATATCTTTCCTGCTTGATAATCTCACTCTGGAAAAGCAAGTCCCATTTTGCCTGTCATCTGCAAAAATACATATAATGCTCTTCCAACAGTGGTTGTGAGGATTAATGAGCTAACACATGGAAGTGTCCAGTCTAGTGTTTATTGTCACTTATAGAACTACAATTTTCTCCCTTCTTTCTGATGATTTATCTAAACCTACTTCAAATTACAATTATATGCACACCTGCTACAAAATTGCAAACTCCCTAAAGCTAGGACTATATCTCAAACAGTGGCTCTAACCAGGGGCAATTTTACCTTTTAGAGAACATGTGACAATTTTTATTTAAAAAGAAAAATTGCCTCAATTATTGATTGTCTTGACTGTAAGATGTTATTGTTTAAACACTGACAACACGTAACAGCCTCACAAACATGTACTACCCAACCCAAAATGTCAGTGGTGACTAGAACTCTGCTTTAGTTCATCATTGTAGCCCAGGTAGCAATTAGCAGAGTTGCATGTTATAGGAGACTGGATTCATCTGTTCTCATGCTGCTAATAAAGACATACCCAAGACTGGGTAATTTAAAAAGGAAATAAGTTAAATCGACTCAGTTCTGCATGGCTTGGAAGGCCTCAGGAAATTTACAGTCATGACAGAAGGAGAAGCAGAGACCTTCACAGGGTGGCCACAAGGAGAAGAATGAGAGCAAAGGAGGAGAAAAGTCCCTTATAAAACCATTAGATCTTGTGAGAACTCACACACTATCTTGAGAACAGCATGAGAGTAACCGCCCACATGATTCAATTACCTCCCATTGGGTCTCTCCCATGACACGTGAGGATTATGTGAACTACCATTCAAGATGATGGCAACACAGCCAAACCATGTCAGAGACATTGAGAATTGTTAGAAAAAATTTGAAGTCCCTTCCTATAGATAAATGTTATGAATTGCCACTGGGGAGGTAAAATTAAGTTAGAAATTTATATTGTGTAGGGAAATTGGAAGATAGCAGAGTTTATGAATATTGATTAATTTGGGGGACACAAATTTCCATTTGTAGTTAGAGGTGACCAGTTTAAAAGCTAAAGTTCTCTTAATCAGCAATCTTTTGTAACAAAATGCGGCAGGATTTACTTTTATATCAAAGGAGCTCCCCAGATAGTTAAAGAATGAAACTGAATAATTAAAAGATCACAGTAAGCAGAATGCAATGCCTTAGCTGCATTCTGGGGAGTACATTTAATAATCAAGAATCTAGTGACAGTAATGAGAAGTTTAAACTTACTAGTCCTGAATCTCTGAATGTATCGATGCTTGTTACCTAGATTTTCATTTCAAAGAAATGAAGTGATGAGTAAGATTTTTTTTAAGTTCTTAATTAGAACAAATTGCTTTACAAATAATCTAATAAACATTTAACACTGAAAAGAAGAGGAAAACTATTGATAAGCCTGTAACATTTAGCCATATATAGTAAGAACTTAATGTGGAGGAAGAGGTAAAGCTATAAGCAATACCAAGAGAATTTAACCAAACCCATAGGCTCTTTACCTAGACACAGCCAGATCCAGTGCCAATGACAAGCAACCCATGGGACTGTGTCACTCCATAAAAAGAGCATTTTCATCAGTCCTGGTGGTTAAAAGATCAAGATGTGTTAGTATAGTCTCTAATTTTCCAGTACCCATGAAAATGCTCTAATTACTATGTGATTTGAGTTTGGACAAATCAAAATCTTTGCTAAACTCAAACAGGAGACATTGGTTTTTAATTCACACAATGAACTCTAAAAGTAAGTCCCATAAAAACAAAGCTCTTCATGATTCTATTTTACGAAGAAGTGGTTCTCACTATCACTATTTTATTGCCAATAGCAACATATTCAAAGAGAAACATGCTGATTTGATAAGTTTTCTAAAATATTTTTTAAAAAGAAAACGCATTCTGCTGATACAGCATCAGTGGTATTTATTTATTTTTTTATTTATTTTGAGACGGAGTCTTGCTCTGTCATCCAGGCTGGGATGGAGTGCAGTGGCATGATAATCCGCTCACTGCAACCTCCACCTCCCAGGCTTAGGCAGTTCTCCTGCCTCAGCTCCCGAGTTGCTGGGATTACAGGCATGTGCCTCCATGCCCAGCTAATTTTTTTTTTGTACTTTTAGTAGAGATGGGGTTTTACCACAATGCCCAGTCTGGTCTCGAGCTCCTGACCTTGTGATCCACCCGACTTGGCCTCCCAAAGTGCTGGGATTACAGGCGTAAGCCACCACACCCGTCCCAGGGCTATTTATTTTTAACTCTTTATGATGTGTACTGGTGCGGATACTGCAGTGGTAGGTATGGGGTATGCATTCCCTATCCTCCAGGATCTAAAAACAAAAGCGCTAGAAGACTATGTTGCATCGGTCTTCTTCCTTCAACTCTGCCTCTCCAAGCGTGGTCACTGCTGCTTCCTCTTTTGCCCAGGAATGACCTCTTTTTTATCGCATGCCAGTTCTTTTTGGAAGATAGCTACAATCTGCCAGAACGTGTTTTCTCTCTCAAATCCAAATTAGCGACTTAAAAGTTTCTTTTCACCAGAGGCTGCTTTGTCTCCTAATAGTTCTGCGCTCATTAAATACCTATTAGTGTACCCTTTGACTTAAAAATGTTCCACTCACTTCCACCAGAAGATCACTATCTGTCACCTAATGAAAAACAACTTCATTAGGCTTGTCGCGGCAGTTCCTTTTTTTTTTTTTTTTTTTCCGTGCTTTCACTTCCTGATTGAAGACTGCAGCTATTCCTAATGTTTTCTTCCCCACACTAAATATTATTGTATGGGGTCGGTCTTCAGACAGATCAATGCCTGTCTGAAAGGTTGTGAATAATCTTCATCAGTGTTTTGAGGACATACCTTTAGGGATTCTTCCAAACTAGATCAGTTTGCAAAAAGAAAAAGAAAAAAATAGTTTTCCACTTATCCAGAAATTATATTTTTTTCTTTCGGCTAGTCCTCATAATTTGACTAAATAAATATTGTACTAATATGAAGAAATACAAAAATACTCAATCTGAAAAAATAGATCAAATGACTTTGCTGTGCTCCTTTACAAGCACACAGACCTTTTTGTAATGTTTCAGAAAAGACAATGTGATGTGTGTAATGTCATATTCAATGCACTTATATGTATCCACCTCATCGCTTCTCTGTAACATAGTCTCTTAATTATATTCATTATGCCCTGGTTTCTGTTTCAGATCTGAGTTTTCCTTACTTAAAAAGAGCTCATGCAACAAGCCTAATGTTTTTTCCCTCAGAGCATTTTTTTGATGGTCTGTGGGAGTCCAATTTTTAGAATCTTAGACTCTGGGCTAATGAAACGTAAACTACAAGTTGACCGGCACAAATGCAAATGTTAGTCCACTAGTGAATGGTTATCAGTCTTTTTCTGTACTGAAAATAATTTGTTTAGAGTGCCTGGCAATTAATAAATCTTACACGTCAATGTAGGTCAAAGAAAAACAGAGTAATACATTTATTTACAAGACAGATGAACATCATTTGAATCAGGAATCCACACTGGAGTCAAGATCCAGTCCGATGAGCCGTGTTGGAGCCCTGAATCTGGTTGTAAACTGCCTGACTTTGAAAAGCCACTCCCCAGTGAGGTCTGGTGTTGTTGCCTTTGTCTGATGTCTAAAGCGTCTCTGTTTTGTTTCAGCTGGCAGGTTTCATCTACGCCTGTTATGTTGTGAAATGCATAACTGAAGAAGAGGACAGCTGTAAGTATTAAAGCTCTATTCTGTTCCTTTCAAGTTCAAAGCATCTTCTTTACTGCCTCCTACTTAGCCTTCTTATTCCTCAGACAAGATCCCACAACACAGCATTAGAATGGGCAATAAGCATTTTGTGCCCATTAGACTAAAGTGTTTTTCGTAACAGTATCCAGCAAATTGATGAATGGAGAAGCACACCCATTTTGAAAACATAATTTCTTTCTTTTCATTGAAGGCCTTTTAAAAATCCTTTCCTCTTATAAACAATTCTCGTAGGGAATAGAGAGGAGAGATTAGAGATGGAAATGACCTTAAGATGTGGTTGACTTGACTGTTCTCTTTTTATGAACCATTTACTAGGTGTTGATAACTAACCAGTTTTACCCAAGACTACAAATCCCCAAAAAAATCAACAATTTGTAATAATTTCTAAGATTGTCATAAAAAAAACTGACTTCAGATTAATTCAGAGAATTTGTCTTTGGGAAATCAAATGTCCATCTGTCCTTTTTATTCCCACTATTTGGTACAAATGGCTAGAATTCTACTATGTCAAAATCTCAACATTGAGACATACTGCTTGATCCAGAGTTTAGATAACAGTACCCTCTTAACAAGCCTCCAAGTGGGTCCATTCTCTGCTCTCTCAGACATGGAGGGGAGAAGGTTTTATTCTATCCTTGCCCCTAAGGATTTAAAATAGGAGAACTGGGAAAAGTACTTCTATTCTCTGTGGGTACGATCATGGATAATTGCCCATGCAAGTACATTTACTCTGAGGAAAAACCAGAATTGGGAATAATTTCTCTTGGTCTCAAAAATATTTGTAATATTGGGTTTTTGAAACAGTAATGAAAGAGGAAGGTGAGAATATGATGATGTGAGGGAAACATCCAAAGATAAATATATGTTTCTTCTTCCCTTTCCAATTATGCTGGAAAGGAAGAGGCAGTATCAAGTGATTAATTTATAAGAGGCACTTTTAGATCATACTACATGTTATAAAATCAGAAATATACAGTATACAAATAATTTATTTCATATATAAAAGGAAATAATGGTCCTTTCACTGAATAAGTATTTGTAAAATATTCCTCAATGTTTCAAGTGTTATGTCAGCCTTTGGAGATTTTAGGATGAGTCATACATAATATTTCACCTCTAGGAACTTGCCAACTAGTAGGGTAAGACAAACATGAGCAAATGAGTATGAAACTCTATAGTGCATGCTGTGGATAAGGAGAAGAAAGAGACCAGGAGAAGGTTCATAGAGAACACTCTTGAGCTGGATCTTGAAAGATGAATCAATCTGGGTGAAAAAGCATCAAAGTATATCACAGCCAGATTAATGTGACTGAATTGTTTCCTATGCTACAGGTAGACGGCTGGAGAAGACTGGAAAAACAAGTATGGATGAGATAATAGAAAAGTGGGCATGACAGATTAGAGAGTCTAGACGTCATATAATACAATCATGGGTCAAAATGCAGGTGGTTTTTAAAAAGAGAATAACATAATAAAAAATGTACTTTAGGAAAAACACATTAGCATCACTATAAAGAAAGGACTCAAGAGTGGGAAAGATTAGGGAAAAGAGAACTAATTAAGACCCCATGAAAATGAGACATGAGATAATGTGAATCTGGACAAGGACTGTATTGGAGATAGAAAGGATAGGTGTGACATGAGACGTGCCAAAATAACATGATTAGTGGGTGATGGTGGGTACTGTGATAAGGGAAAAGGAGAAGACTGTTAGATTCCTGGGTGTCTCATGCAAGTGAATGGGTAGATGGAATTGCCACTTGTAAAGAAAGATGGGAATAAAATGTATTCAAATATTAGGAAGGGCAAAATTATATGGATGTTAAAATGTATGGATCACCGAAACTATGTAAGTTCATTCAGATATTACCATTCAGTGTCTATGTGCCAAATCCCTGGTGAAGGGGAAGTCCCCAGTTAATTTCGTATGGAAGTTGGGCTTTCTCTGGGCTATGTTGTTGGATTTCATTTCACAACGATACCAGTGTGTTTTTATCTTCAGACAATACGTACTGACATCCGATGTCTCCTACATGCACCATCAGTATTTCAGCAGAATAGCACCTCTCAAAGGAGATCTCAGAAATGCTAGTTCCACAAGACATACTGCTCAAAAATAAAAAAGATTCCAAAGCCAAGTAAGTTTGACACTGAAAATTTAGAATGCACACTTACGTATTAACATTTCTGAGAGTACTGCCACAAAGAAGCATGTCCTTTTTTTTTTTTTTTTTTTTTTTTTTTCCTAACCCACAGTTTTGTTTTAACCATATTACCTCAAGGCCAGACACAGATCAAAGAGAAAAACCAGAAAGAGCTCCACAGCTTGATAATACCTTCAGTTCCCCCGGGAGAATACCACATCCCCCACAGGGGAAAGAGGCAGGGTCAGTCACGAGGCAGAGAGAGAGAACCTTTAGTCTGAGTCCTACAGGAAGAAACGGATGAGGCAGGGTAGGTGGGCTTATTAGGATAGGTTAGCTGTGTTGCAAAGTGGTGTCCCATGACATTCATGTTCACGGTGACTGTTAACACAGAGGTTTAGGGCTATTTACAGACTCCACATGTTTCTTGGGGTGAACCAGGGCTTACTTTGGAAACAGCTAGTGGTCGTTTTGTAGATGTTAAAGCATCGATTTACAGAAATTAAAAGTATGGTTAATATAAGCCTCCAAAAAAATTTGAACACAGGAATCCTGTTTTTTACCACCCCCCCCCCAAAAAATAGCCTTAATATTCTGGAGAATTATTCTAAGGGAATTCTTTTTTTTCTATCTCTAATATTATGTTTATTTTATAAACAAAAAACCTTTGAATGAACAATAGAGTTAGCAAGAGTACAACCAAGTGCGATTAGAAATCCTGCTCCAACAGAAACAAACTCCAAATGGTGAAGGATAACAATATTTTTTAATAATGATCTTTCAAGGTGTCAAAAAGGTTTTTTTTTTTTGCTTATTTTTGTATTGCATTTTAGGTTTTGGGGTACATGTGAAGAACATGCAAGATTGATGCATAGGTACACACATGGCAGTGTGATTTGCTGCCTTCCTTCCCCTCACCTGTATCTGTCATTTCTCCCCATGCTATCTCTCCCCACCTCCCCACCCCCCCGTCCCTTCCCCATTTCCCCTCAACGGACCCCAGTGTGTAGTGCTCCCCTCCCTGTGTCCATGTGTTCTCATTGTTCAACACCTGCCTATGAGTGAGAACATACGGTGTTTGATTTTCTGTTCTTGTGTCAGTTTGCTGAGAATGATGGTTTCCAGGTTCATCCATGTCCCTACAATGGACACGAACTCATCATTTTTGATGGCTACGTAATATTCCATGGTGTATATGTACCACGTTTTCCCTGTCCAGTCACTCACCCTCTGCATTTTCACTGGGAGCTGAAGTCCTGAGCTGTTCTTAGTTGGCCATCTTCCCAGCAGTCCCAGGGAATTCTTCCCTAGATCAAGTTTTGGCCAAAGCAATATAAATTCAAGGAGTTTCAAAGTCACCAATATCTGTTGGAAGATCAACTTATCTCTCAAGCATCTAATAAGCTTTTTTCCACAAAAGACTCCAAAAAATAACATGTATGTCCATCTGTGTATCCTGACCACAGTACCACATCTGCCTTCATTAATCCAAAGCATAAGAAGACTTCACAAAGACAGGTTTTATCATGTTAGTTTTATTACTCAGTGAGTAAAATATGAACTCTTTATTTAAATCCAAATAGACTGATGCTTGCCTCAGAATCTTTTTTTTATTTTTGAGCAGTATGTCTTGTGGAACTAGCATTTCTGAGATCCCCTTGGAGAGGTGCTATTCTGCTGAAATACTGAAAATGCATGTAGGAGACATCGTATGTCAGTACGTATTTGTCTGAAGATAAAAACGCACTGGTATCGTTGTGAAATGAAATCCAACAACATAGCCCAGAGAAAGCCCAACTTCCATACGAAAATTAACTGGGGACTTCGCCTTCAGCAGGGAAGTGCCAGTCTATTTGGATTTAAATAAAGAGGATTTAAATTCTCAGTAAACAGGTGGGAGGAGATGCTCATTTGGGCTGGTTCTCTGTCCAATAGTCTTTGGTGACTTTCAGTTAGGTTCATTTACTTGCAGTCATTTACACATAGACAGACAGTTATAAGTATGTTTTGGTGACAAGGCTTTGGGTTGATATTCTCCATGTGTGATCACTTGCCTGATATTCATCCTCAGACACTGCCTGGACATGTGACTTTCAACCCATAGAGTAAAAAAGGTTTGACATTTCTGTATAATTTTGGAAATTATATTATAAAAAATCATCTTGATCCTGAAAAAGTTCGGTAATATACATGTATGTAAACACTGAGGGGGTCTCTGTGTGCCTATTTTTACCCACTTTGGATTTGCAGTGAGGCATCATCATTTGTAGTGAAGCATAGTGGCAGGAGTAGGTGCTAGCTACCTGCTTACCAAATTGGTTAAGTTTCCATTACTAAGAGCCTTGCAAGGAACAGAGGACAGTTCTGGTTCTGTAGCTTGTGCTTAGAGTGGCTGTGGAGATAAAGGCCCAATTATAGCAACTGGACAAAATATTCTTGAAGTCAAGATGAAGCTACTCAGTTATGTGCTCAGTTCTGATATGTCAGCCTCACAGCAACAAGGGTATCCAGGGAACTTCAGAGGAAAGAGGCAAAAACCTCCAGCAAGCAATGGAGAGGGTGTGAGCTCAATGTGCAGAGTCAAGCCTAGACTCAATGAAATAGCAATAAATCATCACTGAAAAAGAAACTTAGGCTCATGAGCATCAAATGCCTGAGAACTTTTTCCCTTTATTCATCCTTTCAAGTAGTATCTCATTACTTGTCTAGAGCCCAGTTTGATTGATGTTTATAGAGATACTGTTTTAGTTCCCTTGGAATAATATAACAAAATATTATAGGTAGGTGGCTTATAAATGACAGAAATTTATTTCTCAC